AGAAAGACTTCAAGCAGAACTGCCAAATTAAATGGAGGGGCGGGAGATAAAGGAGCCCACAGAAGAAAGACTCCTGTTGGTGAAAAACTGGAATAATCCAAAAAGAACCACCTGCGACTGTATGGAAGCAAGAATGAAGCAGCTTTTTTTTTTGGTGGGGTGGGTAGGGTGTTGCTCCACAAGATTCCCAGCCTCAGAAACCTCAAACAGGGTCCCTGTGAACTGGAAACCCTTGGCTTCCTGGCTTTTCTAATGTCAAACACAGCCGAATCATCTGCGTTAAATCTGTTAGGAGGCGACCTCAGGCAGGGATGGCATTTCTTTACCAAAGCAGAGTTTCCTTCAACCTTCTTTTGATATGTTTTTGATCCGTTACAGTTTTTCATGGCACCCAACATTGGAGGGCAGGGCTGAGACCACGGAGCCTCAGGCCCACCCAGGGCCTTTCCAATGTCCGTGGTTGTCATTCTCATCCCCCCATGAGATAGTGCTCCCTGAACACAGAATACCAAATGGACGAGCGTCCCCTGACGTCAAACAACTGCCGCCCTCCCGCATTTCTTGTGCAAACTACAACTAATCCTGAAAAGAAGAAAGGAGCTAGAGAGAGCTTGTTTGTTTTTAATAAAAGTGATTCATACTCATTATTCAAAAGTCAGATACCAAAATGCAAAATAACTATTAGGAACATCTCTGCAGACAGCTCTTTTGCGCGCAAAAGGAGACCACAGCATACCCATGATTCTGTAGTGTTTGTTCACTTAGCCATACGCTGATATCAGTCTTGGTTGATCTCCAACAGTGTCTAGAGCCGCTGGCGTGGGAGGAGTCTCTGGCCTCCAACTCCTCCCCCAGGCAGCCAGGGATCTACCCACCCGCAGGGCATTCTCCTTTGAAGCACAGGGGGTGGGGGAGCTTTTCAAGCACCCCTCCTCCAAGCCAGGCCTGATCTCCCCTTAATCATGAACAAACCCATTTCCCTGGCCAGGCGCCGTTTACACACTATTGCATCCTCACAAGCAGCTTCACGGCTCGCCCAGGACCTCACGGAGGCACGGACGCTCAGGGCACACTGGGCTTTGGGCCGCCATCACTCCCAGTGCTCGGTCCCAAAGCTGCTGGGTTTGGAGACCCCACGCTGAAGCCCGAGCATCGGAGGTGCCAGCCCATCACCGTCCCAAAAGCTGCCCCTGCGAGGTGCATGGGTCACCTTGGCTCCCTTTGGAAGCTGGGGAAACCGAGGCACAGGGAGGTTGGGGTATCTCCCACAGTCCCAGAGAGAGTGGCAGAGGTGGGGACGGAGTCTGTCGTGAGGTGGTGTGCTGGTAGCCCCGTTTAGGAACGGGAAGTCGGCTGGAAGCCGGAACTGCCTGGGGGTTGATGGCAGCAGGTGTCAGGGCTGGGAAGACCCAGCATTCTCTGATGATGGGTGCGTCTCCTGACAGCCACACTCTTGTCTCGGCTGGGCCTCAGGTGCCGCCCGGCCTCTCAGACGCACCCCTGGGCTGCTCGGCTCAGAGCACCAAGGGGTCTCGGCAGCAGCTGCTCGCCCAATGTTCGTTACACAGGCTGATTGCTGGCCCTTCCACTGCCCCCTCCACAAAGCTCCCTGCAGACCCTGCCTGGTCCCAATAGCAGGAGGCACCTCCACCCAGGCCTGAAAGGGGCACTAGAGGTCCTCCATGGGCCTCCCTTTGAACTCACTGCTCTCCTAGGAACCAGACGCAAGAGGCGCCATATTTGTATTTACACCCCAGGGCTATCACGAGACCCCTCAGCACAAGTCCCCTTTTCTGAGTGACTACTAGTCAGTGCTCGGCTCAGCTGGCTGCATGAGCCAGTGCCTGCACCCCACTTTCCAGGGGGAACCTGTCCCGTTTCAAGCCTCTCAGTCGACTGGTATAGAAAGGATGTGAGTGTGTGGGGGGCCAAGGTCCCCGGGTTTACAGTACTTGAGGGATGCCAGACAGGCCACATGTCCCCTCTAACACGCATGCCTCATCTGGAACATGGGAATGATGACACCTGTCTCCTAGGGTGGCCGTGAGGGTGAAGCAAACATGAAAGATGGCACTTTATCTACGGTGACATTCCCGGCTCATGGATATAAGCTACTGTCGTCACGACCCCTTACAGACCAGCAGGAAGACTCCCTGAGATGGCCAAGAGGAAGCTCAACGGGCAGTGACAAAGTTAAGGGCCACCATGGTGACCTCTGTCCGTGCCCTCTGCCTTCAAGGAGGGGAGGTAACAGAAGGAAGAGGCAGGATGCAACATTGGCTCGGTGCGGAGAGAAAGGAGAAGCGAGGGGGCTTCTGGGAAGGCCTAGGAAGTGGTGGGGTGAAGGGAAACCTTCAGAAGCTAAGTCCTGTTCCTCCCAGGACTGCCGCCCAGACAAGCCCGGAGGCAGACACAGAGGGGCTTCGGCGGCGACCTGGGAAGGCCCAGTGGACCCAGAACTCTTCCTCGGGAGGACTCGGTGTGCTGCCTGTGCCCAGCAGCAGCGAGGGGGGCGGGGATCCCAAGGCCACGAGGAACGGCTCCACACTGGCCCTGGACTGCCATGGCCTCTCATTAGGTGGAGAAGCAAGGAGGCAGGGAGATTTGAAGATGTTTTCATTACTATTTTCTGCGTCTGAGGTCATACTCTGGGAGGGGTGGGGGAGAGGACGGTAGGAGTCTACAGCGAATCCGCAGTTGTCCCTTAGTAATGAATGGCCCGGACTCAGCATGGACGTAGAGGGGCAGGACGTAACCCGTGGCCTTTGAACACACAGAAGAAATGAAACACCAGGTCATGCGGCCGTCTGGGAATTCTCTCTGGCAGAGGTGGCTGGACACTGTGTGGTGGCGTCACAGCCAGGCTTACGCTGAGGGCCCTGGTTCCTGGTGTTGAGCACCCGCTGGGCCGGGCTGCCCGCGTCTCACTTTTGGCCCTGCCACTTACACTGAGGCACTCCACCTTTCAGAGCTCTGCTCCCCAGCCTGGAAGATGTGGCAAGCAAATGAGTTACTCTAGGTCAAAGACTGAGAATAATCCCGGGCTCCCAGTGAATATTCGAATACATAGATAGCCCTGGTGTAGCTGTGGATTAGGCTGGTCACTGCAAAGGTTGTGGCTCAAGCCCACCAGCCGCTTCTCGGGCGAAAGACGAGATGTTTGCTCCTATAAACATTTGCAGTCTCGAGCAGTGGGAGCCCCCAGTAGAATGACCATTAGAAATAAATAAATAAATGGGTCTGTTGCAGCAGAGAGAGAAAAGGGTCTCCCAAACTCTGTGTGGGCTCACTATGAATCAGCATTGACTTGATGGGAGACGCTTGATTTTTTGTATATATATATATATTTGTATGTATGCATGGATATAGTTTGTATAGCGATAGGTCAGTTGCTGTCAAGTTGATTCCAGCCCTATGAGTGGCAGAGCAGAACTGTCCTCCATATGTTTCCAATGACTGATTTTTTGGAAGTCGGTCACCAGGTCTTTCTTCTGAGTGCCTCTGGATAGACTTGAACCTCCAACCCATTGGTTAAGCTGTCAAGTGTTTAACTGTTTGCACCACCAGGTCCCCAAATACTATACAAGCCATACATGGCATACAGAGCTATGGTCATTATCATTCAAACCTTGTCACTCATTCATTTAGCCAGACCTTCCTGGGTCCTAAGGAGCCTTGGTGGTATAGCAAACTCAGCAATGGGCTTCTGATCAAAAGGTTTGAACCCACTGGTTTCCTCCCACGAGAAAGATGAAGCTCCACCAAACGAAAACCCACCCCACTGCCATCGAGTCAATTCTGCCTTCCAGCAGCCTTGTAGGACAGGTAGGCCTGCCCCTGTGGGTTATTGAGACGGAGTAGGAAAGCCTCACCTTTCTTCTGAGGAGTGGATGGTGATTTTGAACTGCTGCCCTTGTGATTAGCAGCCCAACACATAACCACTGTGCCACCACAGGGCCTCTTTGGTAAGTCTATGGAGCAGTTCCAGTCTACCCTGAGCTGGAATCCATTGAATGGCTATGGATTGGGTTTAGGTGGGTTGCCAATCTGTCAACACCTTCAGAAACAGCTTTTTGGGGGTACTGCGCCCCACCCCACAGGGTGCAGGGATGGCTTTGCCTTGGCTTATCTTACAACAGCCCCCTATCACAGCCTCAGTTTGGGGAGATGTCCAGAGCTAATCCTACCCCTAAGTCCACAAGGAAGGAGCAGAGCCAAGGAGGCAAAACCGGGAAGCCAAAGGAGGGTTGTGAGAACCCGCAGCTCTCTCTAAGGACTCTTGTTTGAAAGTGCCAAGGCCACGTGGTGCCCCTTGGCCCTCCTGATGCAGCTCCAGCCAGGCAGGGCAGATGGCAGACCCAGTGAGATCATCCCCTGGTCTTGTGACGCCCTGGGGACACGGCCAAAATGGTGTACTGCACACCCAGCATGACGCTGACCCCTCTGTGAGCAGGATGAGGACCATGCACACAGAGACCTGGGGACGCCGAGCAGATCTCACCAACGGGGAGAGAACTTGCTAATGAGAGAGTGCCAGGGGCAGGTAAGCCCCCCCCCCCAAAGGAGCCCCGAGCCCCCCTGGACAGACAGACTCACTCCCTGGGAAGTGGGATCAGGGGACTTTCTCACATTGGTGTCGACATTTCTGTTTATGATATGCTTTCGTCAATATGTGCTGCGCTTACAATCCGATACAAAGCAATAAACACATTCCTGTTTTGGAAAAAGAAAGCACTCTTGTACCAGCGTCCCTGGTCACCAAGCACGCTGGTTCTCTTATTCACACATCGTGAATCGCTGGCAGTCGCTGACATGGCTGATGGGACAAGGTGGCCAAGATTGTAGGCACTCGGGCCTTACAGAGGGAAGGGCCAATCATGAAGAAGACAGAGGCCCATGGTAGGGATGGTGTGTGTGTGTGTGTGTGTGTGTGTGTGTGTGAGAGAAAGAGAGAGAGAGAGAGAGAGAAGAGAGAAAGAGAGAGAAGGAGAGATTCTCACCTGGGGCCATAAGAACATCTGCAGTCACCTGCCAGGTGTGAAGGCTGGTTTGGACTTCAGGGGGCCCTTGATGGTGAACATGATAGAAGAAAAGGGTTAAGACAAAGGATCCAGGTTGGGTAACAGCTGGATCTCAAATTAAGTTTGGAAGCAGATCCAGGTACACAAGTATTGGATCAACTGGAAGGAACACATCGGAAATTCAGTGCAGGAAGACACATGTTTAAGGTCTGGGCTCCAGGGGCGTTTCATCGATATGTTGCTCCTCCTGCAAAGACTTGCAGCCTGAACGTCCTACACAGGTGGCTGAGTCAGAGCAGGCTTGAGCAGTGGGCTTTGGTTTGGGGTCCACATGGGTGTTCTGAATCTCAAAGAGATCTAAAACTTTGCAAAGCAGGCTTGAAAGAAAGTTTATTTTCTTTTGCCTCTGAAAACCACAGGCAGTCTTCAATCCTGTGAACTGGGCACACAGAAGGGCACAGCCAGGCCTCAGCTTCCCTGGTCTCCCCACCTTCCTGCCAGAGGAAAACCATCCACCCCCAGATGGGGCTGCTGGAGACGTGTTTACACACAGCTCTCCTCGGGACAATCGGGCTTCGGCTCAAATCGGACCCCTGGCATGAAAGCCAACCACAGAAAGGGCATCTCGCTGCTTCAATGGTCAACCTACCAAAGCCAGAATGCCTATCAGGAGAACACCGGCCCCGGCCACTAACACAACCATCGGCGACACCTGGTCAGGCTGCACCCTGCCAAAGGCACGACCCTGCGGTCCTCTCAAGCTCTGGCTTTCACCGGCGTCCCTACACGAACCCGGAGGCTTTGCTAAGGAAGGGGCTCCGGGGTGGGGCTGGCAGAGGCCCTGACCGAGGTCCTGTGGGGGTCTCGGCCCACCAGGGAGCGGAGGGGGCCAAATACACAGCATCACGTGAGTCATGAGACCCTTGCCAGACTCTGAGGGAGGCACGGTCTCCATCTCATGGTGGAGGAGGATGCCAAAGCACAGAGAGGCAAAGCAACTTGCTGGGGTCACACAGCTCCCAAACTCACTGCCATTAAGCGACCCGAGAGGACAGAGTAGAACTGCCCTGTGAGTTTCCGAGACTGTACCTCTTTACGGGAGCGAAAGCTCTGCCTTTTCCCCGGGGAACAACTGGGGGTTTCCAACTGCTAGCCGCCTGCCGTGGAACCACTGCACCCCCAGGGCCCTTGAGCACCCCCACCAGCCTGCGGGAAAGGCAAGACAAACAGCCCCTGCCTGCGTAGGCCTGTGAGTTTATGTTGCCTAAGCCACCAGTCCGGTTTCTTTCTACATACCCTATATAGTTGCTTTCTATATTGTTTTAGTTCTGTGTATCTCTTTGATTGTTCTTATCTATGTACTTCTATCCACCTTCTACAGTTTATTTCTATACGACTGGACTGCTCGTTAACAGAGGCTGTCAATGAGAAAGAAGGTGCCTTTGAATGGATGCCTTTGGATTCTGGTGTTTGGGGAAGGATATTAACTGTACTGTGGCCTGCCAGAAGAACAGACAAGTCTGCGTAGGGAGAAGTACACCTGGGTGAGGCTTCCTGATTTCTAACAGAAACTTCCCAGGTGAGGGCAGAGGGCATGGGAGTCACCTCTCAGGGCACCCCAGAGGCCAGAAATGCACCTGGGATGGGCCTGACACAGCAGAGCTGGGGAGATATGGGAAACAGAAGGATTTCACCCAAGTTGTCTCCCCCAAATATATGCTAAACTTAGCTGCTTGCGAATGACTGTGCACTTGGAGGTCATCAGAAGTAGATCAGGGGTCATTCTCCCTAAGAGCTATCAGCCATCTAGACCAAGCAGACACCACTGTTTATCCCACAACAAGTAGGGCCCACTCCCTTCTGATAAGGCTAGTAGTTGTCTGTTTCCTTGTAGGAGACACCGGAGAGGTCAAACCCGCCCAAGGATAATCAAGGTTAGGCTGCCATCATGAATCTAGGATCACCCCATCTTGTCACATGTATATCCCTAGGCCTTCCCATTCCTATGGGCACACCCCTAGCTCATCCCCTTCCTGTCATGTCTATGCCTATCATACATCCCCTTCCTACGATGTGTATGCCTATTGTACTGCCCCTTCCTGTGACGTGTGGTTACCTCTAATCATGCTTCCCTAAGGAGATATAACCCTTGGTGAGCAATAAAGTGGGGGCTCTCCTGCTCTCCTGGCTGGGCTCCCCCCACGAGGACCATCAAGCGGGGCTGAGATGAGCATGCTATGATTGTGTCTGACTCCATTATTACAGTCTCTCCTCTACCTCTCACGCTCTCGATGACTTTACTATAATACTTATATATCGCAACCGTACAATTGCGCTTACTGAACCCAGGATTAGTGGTGGGGGGCTGGCCCCCGCCCTCAGACCACAGGGAGAGATGTCCAGATGTGGGGAACTGATGGCACACTTGGGGGAGGGCTAGTATGGGCGAATGAAGAGCGAGGCTTTGACCACAGCTCAGAGCCCTGCCACCTTGGAGGAGTCCGGGCAAGAGAGGCTAAAGGGCAGTCACCAGCACCAGGGCTGGCTTCCTGGGGAGTCCTGGCAGCAGCAGGCTCTCTGTGACTGTCCTGCTTGCTGGGGAGTTAGCAATGCGGAAAGCACGCCTCCTGAAGACCCCTCCATTACTGTCTTCCGTTCAGATCACTTTTAAATCAGAGGGGCCAAGCTGGGCTTTTATGAAGCATCTATTATTAACAGAGAAAAGTGGATTCTTGAGTGATGGGCTTGCCAATAGCAACACCGTTGGGGGTGGAATTGGGAGCTGATTCGGGCATGTCAGCGGTGTAATCGCAGTTTAATCAGTAAAGTTGCTAAGTGTTCTCTGTACAAAATGCATTCATGGTGCCGCCTTAAGGGCTGTGTGTGTGTGTGCCCATGCCTAGCCCCATGCATACACACTTTCTCTCCAATCCCCAAGCAGTCCCTGACTACCTGTGGGCTGGTGAGTGAGCTGGACACAGCAACTCCATTGGCCCAGTCCTGACTGAGCAGGTGGAGTGAGCCCTGGGGACCTTGGCAGTGAACAGATTTTGAGGATGGGGCATACCAGCCCCCTACCTGAGGCCCAGAGAAAGAGCTCCTGCCTTTGATGTATTTGGTTGGGGCGGTGGGCAGGGGAGCATGGATGCAATTATCGAGTGATACAAGGACCATTTCAGAGCTAAGTGACCATGTAGCCAACTCCATTTATGGGACCCTGTCTACTGTAGGAGTCCTGGTGGCATAGTGGTTATGCATTGGGCTGCTAACTGCAAGGTCGGCAGTTCAAAACTTCCAGTGGCTCCTTGGAGAAAGATAGGACTTTCTACTCCTGTAAAAAGTTACAGTCTTAGAAACTCACAAGGGCAGTTCTACTCTGTCTTTAGGGTCACTATGAGTCAGAACTGAGTTGGTGGAAGTGAGTTTGTTTGTTTGTTTTTGGACTACTGTATGTAAGGCTTCAGACTGGGCACAGACAAAGGACACACTCCCTGTCCCCTGGAAGCCTGGCTTGGGAGGCGAGACAGCCCAGGCCACAGGGCGGAAGAGAGAATGCAGCCCGCGGAGTCCTGAGAGGCCCCGATTCCGTGAGCTCTGTGCGGAACAAGCATCAGAGACCAAGGTTGTAGCAGCTGAGAATAGACAGGGTTAAGGAGAAGGTGAACTTGAACTAAGGCTTGAAGCATGGGCAGGGACAAAGCACCTTCCTGTGGGTTGAAGAGAACCAGCACTGGTCAACGGGGCAAGGTGACCACCCTGCTGGCTGAAGTGGCAGCAAAGCGGCAGAGCCCGCCTCCTGGAGCCTGTGCTGGGGCTGTTAATTCTTAGAGTCCAAATCCCAGTCTGCCCCTGCATTTCAGGGGGGTGGGGCGATGCGTAAACGGTCTGCGTGCTGACAGCAGCTCCAGGCTGGTCCCTGGACCAGAGTGGTGACGGGTTACATAATCTAGCTGCAAAGTGACCCCAGCCAGCAGCATAAAACACAGTCAGAGGAGCGAGGGGGCACGAGGAGCGGAGAGGCAGGGGAGCTGGTGGGGACGGGAGGCACAGCCCAGCGTCCAAGAAGGGCTGCTAAGTGGGAAGGGACAGGACTCTCTGGAGGATAGTTTTCAGCACCCCACTAGCAGACCTCACCACAGTCGAGGTTCAAATCCTGGCGCTGGGCTCTGCGCCGCAGGCACCCTCCGCAGAGGGCACGGCCCTGGAAGCCGAGAACTACCCGCTCTCCACCAAGGAGCCGAGCCCAGCAAGCAGCCAGCTGCTGTCGGTCACATCCGACCCCTGGTGGCCCCTGTGGGTCAGCTCGATCCACAGGATGTTCCGTGGCTGCTTTTCTGGAAGCAGGTCACCAGGTCTTTCCTCCAAGGTGTCTGGAGGGGAGTGTACCTGGAACCTGGAACCTTGGCTACCAGCACAACCCAGGGACTCCAAGAAAGACCAACACCTTCATTGCTTTCCGAACAGAACTGCTTCCCTTTGCTTTTCCCTAGGCTCGCTGCAGTTTGTGATTGGTCACCAGGATCAGAATTCCATCAAAGAGGAGGGCCAAGTCCAAAAGACCTCAGGTCCAGGGTCCACCTTGTGTCTGGGAGGGAAAAGGCGATCTACTTCGTAGATGAGGCAACAGAGGAGCTAAGTGAGTTGCCAGAAGGACTCAGCTATTTTTGTTCAACAAGGAGCGCTGGTGGTGGAGTGGTTACACGTTGGGCTTCTAACTGCAATGTCAGTAGTTCAAAACCACCAGCCACTCCTTGGGAGAGAGACTAGGCTTTCTACTCCCATTAAGAGTTACAGTCTCTTAAACAGGGGCAGTTCTATCCAGTCCTCCAGGGTCACTGTGAGTCGGCATCGACTCGGTGGCAGTGAGTGGCTTTGTTCAACAGCGGGAGAAAGATGAGGCTGTCTACTTGCGTAAAGAATTAACTTGGAAACCCCATGGACCCGCTCTACCCTGTCCTGCCGGGTCACTGAACCAGAATCAACGAGAAACCTTACAGCAGGCGCGTTGGTGGGCCAACAGTGCAGCCCAGTGGGGTTTTGTCCAA